TCCCTGCCTTCCGGCTCCTCTCGGTAGGTGGGAAGCTGGGCAGTTGAAATTAGAAGGGCCAATCTTCAATGCTCCCTCAGTCCTCTAGTTTTGGTTTTCTGTCTATCCTACTAATCCTGGCTCTGAAGGCTTGGGGAGAGGGGCTCTTTTCGGTCTCAGTCTTGCCCCTCAGGTACTGCTCCCTGTGGCCTGTGTGTGGATCATCTCTGCCTTTCTGGATCTCAGCACTCTCTCCCTGAAGCCTTCAGCCCCCACCGAAGCACCATGGTTTTGGCTACCTCACCCGGGTAGGTTTTCTTCTAGGCTCCTGTTCTCTTGTTCAAATCAAGAGATCCATTTCTTTGAACTCAAGAGGATATGTCAACCTCAGGGGTTGTCAATCTCCATCAAAAGTTTTATTTGGGTCAGTGTTAAAGACACATCTGAAGTTTGGGCCAGTTCCACTGCTCACTGTTGGTACTTCTTACCCAATTTACACATTTATATTACCAATTTTCATGGGCATTTCAGTTGGGGAACCGATACATAAGGATTGCCTTTGAGGAGTTGTATGTAAAATTTGCTTATTCATCACTTATTTATCACAGTTGTAGAGATCAACCTAGAACCTTGTGCATGCTAAGCAAGCATGCTTACTACTGAGCTGCAAGTGCAGTCTTTCACTCCTCAGTTTGATTAGGTTCTATTGAATGCTAATTATGTGCTAGCATGTGGGAAGAGAAAAGTAATAGCCATGGCAGATGCAGCATTTGCTTTCATGGAGATGTCAGCCTATTGGGTGACTATAGATACAAAGCAGATAGGCAGAGGATTAAATCTGAACTTGTTGTGGTATATCCACAACTGGCAAAAGCCAGCAGTGAGGAACTTGGCATCATCAGCGAGGCTGGGAAGGATATTTTTGATGGATGGTTATTCAGATGAAATATGAAAGATGAGATTCCTTAGCACTACATAAGCAGAAAAAGCCAGAAGTGGTGCTGTGGCTCAAGTGCTGAAGAGCCCAGGAACAGCGCCCAGGCCCAGAGTTCAGGCCCCATGGCCAGAAAAAAAAAAAAAAAGAAATGTGAAAGATGAGTGGGAGTACTTGAACAGAAGACAGGAGAGAAGAGCATTCTAGGTAGAAGGAAGAGCATATGCAAAAACGTGTAGTAGCCAGGAACACAGACAATCCTAGTCCGAAAAGCAAGACCAGTGTGTCTGGAGTGAGTGAAGTGGGATGGGGTATGGCAAGAAATAAGGCTGGGAAGAGAAGACCTTGTAAGCCATGGTGAAGGCATAGGTCTTTCTCTTTAGAGTTTAGTGGTTTCAAAGTCATGGGGACATCTGGGATTCTTGTGACACAGCTGTTAGAGACAGAGAGATATCTAAAACTTGAGCCTGGCCTCAAGGTAGCTCCTTTTCCCTCTCCAGGTGAGTGGGACTGGCCCTTGTTGACACCCAGGGCTTTGGCTGCAGGCATCTCCATGGCTTTAGCAGCCTCCACCAGCTCCCTGGGCTGCTATGCCCTGTGTGGCCAGCTACTGCATTTGCCTCCTCCACCACCACATGCCTGCAGTCGAGGGCTGAGTCTGGAGGGCCTGGGCAGTATGCTGGCTGGGCTTCTGGGAAGCCCTATGGGCACTGCATCCAGCTTCCCTAATGTGGGCACAGTGAGTCTTTTCAAGGTATGTGGACATGGGATTAGAGTGGAGAACTGGACATGGAGGAGGGGAAAAGGAACTCATATTGACTAGTTGCCAGCTTTACCCAGCGTTTGTAAGGCAGTCCATACCTAGGATATCACTTGGGCAAGTGTTTAGAAGTGGTAAGGGGCGAGGAGTGTGAAAAACAAAATCACCTCAAGTGTATCAGGTGCTTTGCCAAAGGCTGGGGTTCCAGGGAAGGATAAATTAGGTAAAGCCCTGCTTCACAGAGGGGACTTCACAGAGGGGGAAGGGAAAACATGGAAGATAATTTCACAGAGTGATAAGTGCTATTCAGACAACAAAGCAATGGAATATTGGCTGAGCAAAGAAGCCTTTAGAGTAGCTAGGATACTTCTAGAAGGGGTAACATTTAAGCATTTAAGTTGGTATCCAAATAATGAAGAGCAAGGAAGGCAAAGACTTGGTACAACCAAAAGATATGGCTGTTTTCTTGATTTTTCTTCACACAGGCTGGATCTCGGCAAGTGGCCTACATAGTAGGGTTGCTCTGCATGGGGCTTGGGCTCTCTCCAGGGCTGGCTCAGCTACTCACCACCATCCCATTGCCTGTTCTTGGTGAGTGCTTGTACTGAAACAGTTAACCCCGGGCCTGATGCCTTTTCTTTCTAAATATTCTCCCTGAACGAGAAGATTAGAACATTGGTTAGCTTGCCCTCAGTGTCTCAGCCTGACCTCTTGGCTTCTTGACTGGGCTTTTTGCAGAATCACAAACAAACCTTTTGGTTATCTCTTCACCATGGTCTTCCCTGCAATACCCGGTGCTTTCTCCCTACTCCCTTGATTTCTTCCGTATGGGACAGGTGGTGTGCTGGGAGTGACTCAGGCTGTAGTTCTGTCTGCTGGATTCTCCAGCTTCCACCTGGCTGACATTGACTCTGGGCGGAATGTCTTCATTGTGGGCTTCTCCATCTTCATGGCTCTACTGCTGCCAAGGTGGCTCCGGGAAGCCCCAGTCTTACTCAACACAGGTGGGTGCAGTGGAGAGGGAAGGAGGAATTTTTCAGTAGCCAGCTTGAGGTTTCAGGGTGTCTAGACTTTTGGCCCCACACCCTATTTTGGGATTTGGGATAAAAAGTCCATCTGCTCATTAAAAAAATTATTAAGCATTATGTGGACCATTTGGGATATAAAGGTACCTCTTGGTATTATAGGCCAGTGAAAGAGGAAAGAGGAAGAAAAGTTTAGATCAAAGGCTGTGGTGCTTCATTTGAAGTGATCGAATAGCATTAAGCTGGTCTTGAAGGATGGAAAGATTTAAATGTACTTGGCGAGAAGAAAGTCATTTTTGATGGAAGCAGCATCACAGACATAGAAGTAAGAAGTCATGGCTGGGAAGGTGGCTCAGTGGTAGAGTGCTTGCCTTGCATGCATGAGGCCCTGGGTTCAATTCCTTAGTACCACATAAGCAGAAAAAACTGGAAATGGCGCTGTGGCTCAAGTGGTAGAGCACTAGCTGAGGGACAGTGCCCAGGCCCAGAGTTCAGCCCCAATGACTGACAAAAAAAGAAAAAAAAATAATGTTGGAGTTTTTAATACCGACCAGAGAAAGGAAGCTTAGAATAGTCAAAGCCTATCTAGAGTGTGTATTGAGGCTTAGAAAATATAAGGTGTTGAGCAGAGATTTTATGGGAAGGACCTTAATGTGAGAAATGCAGAGCAGATAGACAAAAGATAAGGGAGGTAAAATAATTCATGGAGATCTATTCTTAGTTCAAGAAATGCAGAGCAGATGGACAAAAGATAAGGGAGGTAAAATAATTCATGGAGATCTATTCTTAGTTCAAGACTTGAGTTTAGGTCTAGAAGGTTAAGACTCCTTGGCCTTGGACAACATTAAGATTCCAACATTAGAATTCTTATCCCAACCCTTCATAGGCTGGAGTCCCTTGGATGTGTTATTACGCTCCCTGCTGGCAGAGCCAATCTTCCTAGCAGGACTCTTGGGTTTCCTTTTAGAGAACACCATTTCTGGTAAGTTGAGGCCAAACCCTAGCTGACTGAAGAGTAGCAGTCATCACTCCCTAAAGGAGCAATGACTTACCAACCATTCTTTTTCAGGCACACGGCTTGAACGAGGCTTAAGTCAAGGACTGCCAACTTCTTTCACTGCCCGAGAGGCTGGAATGCCTCAGAAGTACAGAGAGAAGGCTGCTCAAGAGTATGGACTTCCTTTCACTATCCAAAACCTATGTTCCTGTATCCCTCCTTTCCTCCGATGCCTCTGCCCAATGCCTGAAGACCTTGGGGATGAGGAAGGAGGTCCCACTGAACCAGGAGAGGCAGCAGACTTGCTGCCTGGCTTTGAGGAGCCACCCCCTGCATCTAGCAGAGAAGGGATTAGGGTCCAGTAATTACTAGGGCTACTATTTCTGCCCTCATTAATTTAGCCTTAACTCCCAGCTTGATTGACAGTACTCTACTTCCTTCTAAGGGATGGAGGTAGTGTGATTGTGTGTACATATAGTATTGGCCCACCTAGGGGGTCTCATTTCCCAACAGGATGAGTTCCTTTCCTTTTCTTAATTATATCTATGGGAAAGCAAGGGTCATGGTTAAGTGGGCCATGAATGAGTGAATGGATGAATGAATGAGTTTTGCCTGTGAACTATATCAATACCACTTGAACGCTAGCATTCACTTATTTATTGAGTGCCCTTTCGGTTCAAGGTCCTGCATCTACAGATATGGATGTGATAGGGTGCCTGCCCTCTCCAGGCATTTAGGATTTAAAAAGCCCTATGTAATTATTAACTAAAATGCAAAGCAGAAGGCAATTTGTAATAAAGATGGAAATAATGTTGTGGGAGCAAAAAGGAAGGAGTAATTCATTGTGATTGCTGATAATGGGAAAGGCTTTATGAAAGCCACAGTGGGGAGGGGGACCTTGGGTACTGGAAAGCAGATGGAGATTATTATTCGGTCCCAAGAATCCAGCTTTTACAAAAATACGAGTTGTACAAAAATGAGCTGTGAGGTTTCATGTTGTTCAGTGGTGATGAATCACGAGTACTTGAATGTGTGGAGGGAGAAATGAGGCAGAGGAGGAGTTCATATTATAGGACCTGAAAGACTGCTCTTTTAACAACTCCAGGAATGATGAGGACCTCAGAGATTAGTGCAATTCAGCTCTCCATAAAAACAAACACACAAACAAACGACCGGCAGGGGAGAGATTTGACAAATCCAAACCCAGGCTCTGGGTGCTCCCTGTTTAGTGAACCCGAAGCCCCGCCCTCGCCAGCCTGGGCCCCGCCCTGCCACAAGCCCCGCCTTCCCGCGTGGGGGGGGCTCCACTCTAGGCCTTTCAGTTTGCGCGGGAGGGCAAGCCTGCTGCAAGGAGGGTGGGCACTTCGCCGGCCGCTGACGGTAGGTGGGATCGGGCTCCAATCGGGGCTAGGGTCTGGGCACGGCTGTGCGCCGAAGGACTGCTTGGACCTGCTGGGTGGACCCCACACGGGCTCCTTCTCCCAGCAGGGACCGCGCGCAACCGGGGCTTTGGGCAGGTCTCCGTGAGTAGGAGGAGCCGCGCGTGCGCAGTCCGCCTGCGGCGGCTCGGTGGGGCTTGCAGGTCTTTCCTGGGGCTCTTTGGTTGGCCGTACGGTGTGGGATTGGCTTTCTTATCTCTTGAAGGGTCTAGAGGCCATGCCTCAGTACAGCCGGTGCTGTAGAAAGGGGAAAGGTGCTTTAGAAAGGGGCGAGGTGGAGGCGAACTGGACGTCAGGTGGCGCCTCTGGGCTGGGGCCGTGGTTGTGGGACCGAAGATTGACTCCCAGTGGACAGGGCGTGGCCCAGCCTGGATGGGCCCTAGAGCCCTGCCGCCCTCTGCAGGGCGTAGGAGGAACTACGCTGAACCACACCATTTAACCCCCCCGCCCCGCCCCCTTCCCCGACCCGACGCCCCGCAGAAGGGAAAAATTTGGTTCAGGTACCATTTCTTAGGGAGCCCGTCCTGGCTATTGCCTTTTCCAACTCTCGTACAGGAGTACCAAATAGGTGAATATGGTTAACGTGAATGTTAAAGGAGACTGGAATTTCGAGACTTCAGACTCACAGCCCTCCCCCATCCCGTCCCCAGTCCCGTAGATCAAACCCAGGATCTCATAACTGAACTAGCTGTGCCCTCAGCCCAGGCCTCAAACGGAACGGGCCAGCCGGGATCTGGTGTTGAATGTGTCAGGTTGTGTAGTAGGGCCAATTGCCCCTAGCCACATTTTAAGCTCCTTCCTTCCCTGAAAGGAACAAACACCATCAGCTTGAGGGTTCTCAACTTCTGGACTTAATAAAAGGAGTGACTAGGCGACAGACCCAATTTTGGTGACTCTTAGCATAAGGAAATTACGGTCTTGGCAGCTTTATTTGCATTTGTGATCTTTGACAATGTGGAACTCCTGTCCAGTGAGAACCAGTCTAGTCATTCCCAAACCGCTTTGCCCTGTTGGAAACAGCACATGGGAAATGTGATGAAAATACCATTTCCAAATACAGGTTTTAAGGCTGCTGCAAATAACCACCATATATGCAGTCATGTGTCCCTTGAGATGGGAATGTTTTGGGAACTGCATTGTTAGGCGATTTCATCATTGTGTCAACACCATATCATACATATGTTAAATAAGATGGCAGTGATGTCACTAAGATATATGATCTCCTAGGACCACTGTCATGTGTACAGTCTGTCTGAGACCAAAATGTCATTATGTTGCAGGACTAAATAGCCTTATATTTCAATTGTGCATTTAGAGTACAAATTAATCAATGTCACAAACCACACTTGGAAAACTCAGGAAGATTTAGACTGAGTTGAAAATGACTATTAATCAGACAACAAGGATTTTCATTATTATTATTATTGTATTCTAAGTTTCATCCTGGTACTTGCCTTTACTTTGTATCTATAGAGATGAAAATGAAGGAAGTTACATCCTTTTTTTAAAAAAAAATTTTGCCTGCTTACACAAGTTGAACTCTGGGCCTCTAATCACTCTACTTGTTTACTCCAGGACTGGCACTCTATCACTTAAGCCAGACTTTCAGTTACACATTTTTTTTTTTTTATTGGTTGGTCGTGGGGGTTGAGCCCTGGGCCTGGGCGTTGTCCCTCAGCTCTTCAGCTCAAGGATATTGCTCTACTATTTGAACCACAGAGCTACTTCCAGTTTTCTGGTGGTTTTTTGGACATAAGAGTCACAGACTTTCATGCCCGGGCTGGTTTTGAACTGCGATCCTCAAATCTCAGCTTCCTGAGAAGCTAGGATTACAGGTGTGAGCCACTGGCACCAAGCATAAAATAATTTCTACTTATAGTCATGTTATTCTAAATGACAGAGTTCATCTTTTTTTTTTTTTTTTGGTTGGTTGTGGGTCTTGAACTCCAGGGCTTGGGTTCTGTCCCTGCACTCTTCAGCTCAAGGTAAGCGCTCTACCGCTTAAGTCACAGCTCCACTTCCGGTTTTCTAGTGGCTAACTGGAGATAAGAGTCTCACAGACTTTTCTGCCTGGGCTGGCTTTGAACCATGATCCTCAGATCTCAGTCTCCTGAGTAGCCTGAGCCACCCTTTTTTTTTTTTTTCCAGTTTGGTCGTGGGGCTTGAACTCTGGGCCTGGGTACTGTCCTCAGCTCTTCAGCTCAAGGTTAGTGCTCTATCACTTGAGCCAAAGCGCCACTTCCCAGTTACACATTTTTGCCAGTCAACTGGAGATAAAGCCTTGGGAACTTTTTTTTTTTTTTTTGCCTGGGTTGGCTTCAAACTGTGATCTTCAGGTCTCATCCTCCTGAAACATAAGTCACTGATGGCATAAGTCACTGGTGTCTGATGGTTATCATTTCTTTCTTTTAAACCCACAGGAGAAGCAGCCATAGTTACTGAAAATACTGCTAGGTTAATTATTGAGTCAGGAAAGAGAGTCTCTAGAACTTCAACCTATGCAGACGTGGTAGCTATGGGTAGGAGTGGGGATATTTGGGATTCTTTAAGTGAAAATGAAGTATCTTTTTCTCTTTAATAAGTCATGCTTTATAATCATGACTCTGTTCCTTTGTTTAAAGGAAATCTAGCTCTTTTGCTCCAAGACAGAGCTTATTGACTCTGTGTGTGTGTGTGTGTGTGTGTGTGTGTGTGTGTGTGTGTATGTATCATCGATCCCTTTAAGAATTTGATTATTGGATTGGATGTGTGGCTTAGGTGGTAGAATATCAGCTGGTTAGCAAAAGCATCAGATCAGGAGTCCCACACTTTGACACAAAAAATGAATTTGATGATAGTCATGGACTCTTTCCATAAATGTATATAGACACACAATCTTCATAAAATTCCAGAAGATCACATTCATAGACTCTAGTTGAAGAATTGCTGTTTGAGGAACTTTTTATTTTTATGTTTTGCTGAGAGCTTCCAAAGCTTTGCTTTAAAATAACAATCAAATAATTTGAATTTTCTGCCCCCAATGTTTTTGACTTAGGATGTTTTATAAGACAAAAACTATTTTTCTCTTCTGAAAGTTCTGGGAAAGAATAGCATTGTTATTTATTAGGGTTGGCTTGAAGGTGTGGCTCAGGTGGATAGATGCTCGCCAATGAGCAATTATCAGGTGGCAAGTTCAATTCCCTGTCTCAGACAAAAGAGAGAGGGGGGGAGGGAGAGGGATTAGGGCTGTGGTTAGGATTCAGTAAGAAGGGTTTGGGTTTCTACACTATGTTCTACATTATGCTAAGGCTTAAACATTATGGAAAAGAAATATTTTCTTCTCTCTAGGAACTTAATGTGGAAAAAGATTCTAAACAGGTTTTAAGTAATCAAGGGGTAGTACAGTTGTTGCTCAGTTGGTTATATAGAAGAGAGAATATAAATCCATGTCTTCTGTTTTATTGAAGAGGGTTGATTTTAGTTGATATAGAGATATCTGCCTGTTGTCCTTGACTCTACCTACCCTGACTTTCCTACAGATGGATGAGCTGGAGCAAGGCCTATTGATGCAGCCATGGGCATGGCTACAGCTTGCTGAGAACTCTCTCTTAGCCAAGGCTTATATCACAAAGAACGGCTATGCCTTGCTGGTTTCAGATCTTCAACAGGTGTGGCATGAGCAGGTGGACTGTAGTGTGGTCAGCCAGCGAGCCAAGGTAAATGTGAAGAGAAATAGTGCTTTTGGCTAGTGGGAAATTTGGTGTGTGTGTGTGTGTGTGTGTGTGTGTGTCCCCAGAGCCTGCCTGCTATTCCTTGCCTTTTTCACTCAAGGCTGGCACTGTACCACTTGAACCACACTCTACTTCCAGCTTTTTATTGGTTAGTTGAAGATAAGAGAGTCTGACAGACTTTTGTGGCCGGATGGCTTTGAACTATGATCCTCAGATCTCAGCCTCCTAAGTGCTAGGAGTATAGGCATGATCCACCCGTGCCCAGCTTTGATTCCTTCCTGGTGAACAGCTAGCTTTGTCACTTCTAGGTTGGCAAGGAAGACTGAATTTGGTTAAAACATACATAGCCTGTACATTGCTCATCGGAAATCCAAACTCTGAACCTTTTAGAGTTCTGCTAACTCAAAAAGTTTTGGATTTTGGAGCATTTGGGATTTTAGATTAGGATTACTCAACTGGTAAAGTCTATAATCCCAAATCCAAAACATCTGCAGTTTGAAACACGTCTGGTCTCAAGTATTTCAGACAAGAAATACTTAATCTGTCATGTCCTGTAGTCTAGCTGTAACAGTGGGATATTTGTGTGTGTGTGTGTGTGTGTGTGTGTGTGTGTATGTGTGTGTGTGAGAAAGAGAGACAGAGAGAGAGAAAGAGAAAGAGAGATAGAGGAAAAAAGAGGCTATGCAGGCTACATGATAATGTATAACATGATCTATATTATATGATCTATACAGGCTTTCTGTAAATTGATCTTGACAAAGGCAAAAGCGTTGCATATGCCAGTTAGTCTTTGTCACTCTTTTTGTTTCCTTCTTTCTTCTAGTGATGTTTTACCTTCTTTCTCCTTTTCTTCATTCCTTTTGTCTGCATGTTAACAAGGGCTCTCATTTGCTGTTGCCTCAGAGGGAATCACTTCCTTTTCTGTTCTCACTGTGTACAACTGCCGTCTCTTTAGGAGCTGAACAAGCGCCTGACTGCTCCCCCTGCAGCTTTTCTCTGTCATTTGGATAATCTTCTTCGTCCATTGTTGAAAGATGATACTCACCCTGGTGAAGCTACCTTCTCCTGTGATCGTGTAGCAGAGGCACTGATTTTGCGGGTTCGGAGTGAACTCTCTGGTCTTCCCTTCTATTGGCATTTCCACTGTATTCAGGCTAGTCCTTCCTTGGTAAGTGTATTTCAAACATGGGGTCTGAGTGGGGATACCAGCTGCCAGCTAGGCAGGTTCTTTAATAGTTGAGCTACTCTAACAGTTCCTTTTTTGTAGTGATTATTTATTTATATATTTATGTATATATGTTTTGTCAGTAGTGGCCTGAACTCTGGGCCTGGGTGCTGTCCCTCAGCTCTTCAGCTCAAGGCTAGCACTCTACCACTTGAGCCATAGCACCACTTCCGGCTTTTTCTGCTTATTTGGTGCTGAAGAATCAAACCCAGGGCCTCATACATGCAAGGCAAGCACTCTACCACCAAGCCACCTTCCCAGCCCCACAAAGAGGATTCTTGACTGGTTTATCCCTTGCTTGCAAAGGGAGCAGTTTCAATCTCTACACTTTATTGAGTGATTTTATTCCTTAATTTGGTCAACAGGAACATCTATGAACATCTGTGTGTTTCATTATCGTATATGAACATTTCTGCACTCATTATTGAGTATCCTGACTTGAAATAATGTAGCCTTTTAAAAAAATTTATAATTAGAGAATAGACAGATTGAAGATAGGGTTAGTTCTTTCACTGAGATAGGCCCAGGATGGCTTGAAGATCAGAGGAAACCTTTTTTTTTTTTTTTTTTTTACCGGTCCTAGGGCTCGAACTCTGGGCCTGGGCACTGTCCCCGAGCTCTTCAGCTCAAGGTGAATGTTCTACCACTTAAGCCACAGCACCATTTCTGGTTTTCTGGTGGTTAATTTGGAGATAATAGTCTCACAGATTTTCTTGCCCTGGCTGGCTTTGAGCCACGATTCTTAGACCTCAGCCTCCTGAGTAGCTAGGATTACAGGCATGAGCCACTGGCACCTGGCTGGAAACCTCTTCAAAGAGAGGGTGATAGGAGACACTTTTGATGATGAATAGGACCTAATTCTACAGGAGGTAGAAGATCACAGTGTCTTCTCCCCTGTAGCTTTATGCTCCAAGAGCTTCTATTAGAAATCAAGGATGGACATTAAGAATTAGGTTTAGAATGAAATTATGTCATTTATAGGGAAATGGATGGACACAGAACAAATAATGCTAAGTGAGGCAAGCCAAACTTCGAGAAACAAACTGCCTGTTTCCTCTCATATGTATCAGGACACTAGGTATTCACACAAAAACAGTGAGACTAAAGGAAGATACTCTTAGGGGTGGAACCCAAGGGAGTAACAGCTGTGAAATCTAAACTATTCTTTTTATTTTTGTCGGTCATGGGGCTTGAACTCTGGGCCTGGGCGCTGTCCCTCAGCTCTTCAGCTCAAGGCGAGCGCTCTACCACTTGAACTACAGGGCCACTTCCGGTTTTCTAGTGGTTTTATTGGAGATAGGAGTCTCACGGTCTTTCCTGCCTGGGCTGGCTTTGAACCGCGATTCTCAGATCTCAGCCTCCTGAGTAGCTAGGATTACAGGCGTGAGCCGCCGGCGCCCGGCTCTAAACTACTCTTTATAAAAATGAGTTCCAGGAACTGGAAACTTTTTGTTGTTTGCTTTGCCTTTTTTTTTTTTTTGCGTCTGGTCGTGGGGCCTGAACTCTGGGCCTGGGTGTTGTCCCTCAGCTCTTCAGCTCAAGGCCAGCACTCTACCACTTGAGCCACAGCGCCACTTCTGGCTTTTTCTTTTTCTGCTTATGTGGTGCTGAGGATTCGAACCCAGGACTTCAAGCATGCAAGGCAAGTGCTCTACCACTGAGCCACCTTCCCAGCCTCTGTTTTGTTTGTTATTTGTTCTGTCTTTTGGTGGGGGGATGCGGGGGCTCAGAAATGGAGAGAAGGATGAACAAATGCAGGCATGTTACTTAGTGGACACTATGTGGAAAACGAAACTATGCAATTTGTGAGCAGTGACAGGAGGAGGAAACTGGGGGAAGAAGGGGTGACATAGTCCAAAAAGAAATGTACTTATTACCTGACTTATGAAATGGTAACCCCTCTGTAGAACATCTTAATAGTAACAATACAATTTTATTTAAAGAAAAATATAATTAGTATTCTGGACTAACAAACAGCCTTGTTTTCAGCAGTAACACTTAGAGATCAAGGTCTTGGCGGAGGGGAAGTGGGGCTGGTGAGGATACTGGCTTATTAGCGTAGGGACCTGCAGAAAATGAGCATCATTTATTGACTAGCTTCTTTATCTTCCATAGGTGATAGGATTCTTTGGCACCAATAGATGACTGTGAATGGAACAGAGCAAACCATTTCATTTTGAGAAACTGTTAACTGATGTTTAGTTTTAATCTGGACCCTAGTAAAGTTAGAGTTGAATGAAAAGAACTACTTTTCATTTATAATTGATTTTTTTCTTTTTTTGGTGGTGCTAAGGATCAATCCTGAGGTTTCATATTTGTTAGACAAACCATTGAGTTACAACCCAAGCAAAGGATTTTTTTTTTTCTTAAGTATCTCATTGTGTTGCACATGCTGATCTCTAGCTCCTGGGCCCAAGCAATCTTCTCATCTCAGTGTCCTGAGTAGCTGGGCCTAAATATGCACATAGCATGGTTCATTAATGAATTTCTAAAGCTTGTCCCACAGTGCCTAGCATATAGTAGTCACTCACATTCGTTCGTTTTAATTGAATTTCTTGAGCAATCTTCCATCCTGTTTTAGATATATATAGTTTATCTCATTCAAAACCCTTATGACTTCTCCTGAGTGGCACCAGAGGGCACTGCTTCCCCAATAATTCCTCAAATGTTCTGAGACCCAAACATCTGGGCGGCCTTAGGGAATCCCAAGTCATACCTGGTCTTATTTTGTTTACATAGTCCTACACTTTCAGAACAGTCTGATTGGGAAAGCATTTCCTTGGAAGCTGATGAGCCTAATATTTTCTTTTCCAAAGATTTGGATGGGCTGGGGTGTAGCTCAGTGATAGAGCTCTTGCCTAGCATGTACCAGGCGGGCCCTGGGTTTACCCCCAGTACTGGGGAAGACAAAAAGATGAAGTAAATAAGAGTTGTATAATCATATTATAATTGTTAGAAAATGTAAAGAAAAAGTAGCCATTCTAGCACATTCCTCCATTTGAGGAACTCTAATAAGAAAAGTGTTTAGTGTGGGATGAGTTTTGGTTGGCCACGAGAAGACGTTCGCTTTGAACAATTGATTGGCAATTGTAATTTCAGTTAAAATAAAATACTTACTGTTAAAAATAGTCTGTCATCCCAGGGAAACCCTCAAACCTGGGGAAGAAGTTGCAGCAGTGGATACTGGCGAGGATGTAGGTGGATACTATTTCAAGCTAGTGTGTGTGTCTATGAGGTCATGTGGTTCTAATTTTTGTGTATTACTCATTCTTGTGATAGTTTTCATTTACTTTTTTTAATGGATAATTCATGCCAAGGGAAAACATTTCAAATAACATTTAAAGGTATACAATGAAAAAAAAAACTTTCCTTTTTGTCTCTTTCTCCAGATCCTCATTTCCCTTATCTAAAGCAATCAGTGATATCAGCTTCATTTGAATTCTATTTATTTTATTAATCTTGGTAAGTAGTTCAGACTAGCCATCCTCCTGCCTTAGCCACCTGGGTGCTGGAACTACAGTTGTATACCATTATGTTCAGCACCTAATATAATTCTTGATATTCTATATGTTGACTTTCAGATTTGTCACCACTGAGGCCATTCCTAGAAGTCATATCCCAAGGTTCCTTAGTAGTAGAAAGAGCTTAGGCTTTGGACCCAGCAGACTTGAAAGTATAATTAACTTTGTTACCTTCAGGCTACTTAGATTACCTTGGATGAGTACTGAAATTTTATTTTTATTTTGGGTCTGGTCGTGGGCCTGAACTCTGAGCCTGGGCGCTGTCCTCAGCTCTTCAGTCAAGGCTAACGCTCTACCACTTGAGCCACAGCACCACTTCCGGCTTGTTTTTTTTTTTTTTTTGCTTATGGGTGCTGAGGAATCGAACCCAGGGCCTCAAGCATGCAAGGTAAGCGCTTTACCACTGAGCCACCTTCCCAGCCGAGTACTGAAATTTTATGATGCAGGTTTTTTTGTTTGTTTGTGCTGGTCCTGCAGTTTCAACTTGGGGCCTAGGTGCTGTCCTTGGACATTTTGCTCAAGGCTAGTGCTCTACTACTTGAGCCACAGCTCCACTTCTGGATTTTTGATGGTTAATTGGAGATGAGAGTCTCATAGACTTTCTTTCCCTGGGCTGGCTTTGAAACATGATCCTCAGGTCTCAGCCTTCTGAGTAGCCAAGATTATAGACATTATTATAGACATGATTCAGTTAGAAATACTAATTATAATTTTACCATGGACTGTGAGGATTAAATAAGAGAATATAGGTATTATTACTTTGGACTTACAGTGAGCCAGTGAGAGCAGGCTATTCCCAGCCCATAGTTTGTTTGTTTGTTTCTCTCTTTCTCTTTCTCTCTTTCTCTCTTCCTCCCTCCTTCCCTCTCTCCCTTTCTCCTTCCTTCCTTCCTTTCCTTGAACTCTGGGCCTGGGCACTTGTTCCTTAGCTCTTCAGCTCAAGACTATTGCTCTACCTCTTGAGCCACAGTGCCACTTCCAGTTTTTTCTGTTTATTTGGTGCTGAGGAATTGAACCCAGGGCCTCATGTATGTGAGGCAAGCACTCTACCACTGAGCCACCTTCCCAGCCCTAGTTTTTCTTTTTGAAAAAGACAAGGCCTGTGAAAATAGTTGAGGTAAATCAATTTAAATATCGAAGTACTGGCACTGCTAGAACTAGAACCTAAGTTTTTGGTATTCTGTTACCTGCTTCATCAGCTACTTGGTATGATTCATCTGGGGACAGCCTTTTCTTGTTAGCATTTACAAACATTTCTATTGGAAATTGGAAGACATTTTTTTCTTATAGGGATGATTGGCAACTTCTATTTCTATATCCACCACACTTCCTGACCTCCCTATCTGCGTGGAGCTCTTGGAGGGTCCAGGCCTCAGAGCACATAGTAGGCTGGTTGAATTAACTTGGGAGTTGTATTTGTCATCTTTTGGTACCTGTGAATCAAGGGAATATCTCTGTCCTCCTAAAGCACTGTATAATTTTTCCATGTTACCTGTGAGTCTACTTTGATCTATTTACTGAATTGTACTACTCTTATGGCTATTAGCATACATTTTCGTGATTTTTTTGGTCAGTCCTGGGGCTTGTACCCTGGGCCTGGGTGCTATCCCTCAGCTCAAGGCTAGCGCTTCTACCACTTAAGCCACAGTGCCACTTCCAGCTTTTTCTGCTTATGTGGTGCTGAGGAATTGAACCCAGGGCCTCATGCATGCAAGGCAAGCACTCTACCACTGAGCCACCTTCCCAGCCTCATATTTTTGTGATTTGTATCTAGCACTCATCCAAGTCTGAGAACAGAGCAAGGCTATCTTATCTAAGGAAAACCATGAAATTAGTTATATCTCAGTAATTCAGCATGGTATTACCCAATTGTATGAATTACTTGAGAAAATGAAATATTACTGATAAAAAGCTCCGGGGGAGGCTATCTAAGCATTAAGGTATATTATTTCAATTGCCTGATCTGGCATTGCATTTCATTAGATAAGGCATTAAACCCATTGGTGGCTTGTTTCTATAATCCTAGCTACTCAGGAGGATGAAATCTGAGGATCAAGGTTTGAAGCTAGCCCAGGCAGACTATGATCTCCAGTAAGCCAGCAAAAAGCAGTAGAGTACCAGTTTTGAATGGAAAAAGCTATAGTATGAGCTCTGAATTCAAGTCCTACTATCAGCAGGAAAAAAATACATGACATTAGTTAAAAATTGTTCCTTGTCATATTTCATGCTGTATTTAGCACCTTCTCAGGCTGGTTAACTTTAGGAGTTTCTATTATTTCGTTGGCTGGGAAGGTGGCTCAGTGGTAGATCACTTGCCTTGCATACCTGAGGCCCTGGGTTCGATTCCTCAGCACCACATAAGCAAAAAGAAAAAAGAAAAAAAAAGAGTTTCTATTATTTGAGTGGTACCACCAAATGATCAGTGTGTCTGCTATATTAGCAATAGTAGTTATTTTCAGTTCAACTGACCAACTTTTCACTGACTATTACAATTATTCACAAGAGTTTTCTCCTACTGAGTTAACTTGACCAGGACCAGACATGAAAAACAGTTCCTAGGAAAGGCATAACTCTTCATTAAAACTATACTTCAGTACTTCTTGGAGGCCTAAGTCTGTCCCAAGGACCTGAGCTAGAGGACAGTGCTAGGATGGGATAGTCTGTTTGATAGAAAGAACTGACATTGTCTGTAGTGGGTTTGACTTCTGGAACTTCACTCTGGGATGTAACCCAGTGTTTTTTGGATCTACAAAAGCTGCTGCTACTAACCCTCCTCTCCCTATCCACCTCTTCTCATCATAATTTATCTACAACATATGTCACATTTTTAGTGGTAATTTTTTACCTAGAAAACTAATGGAAATGAGGACTCAAGAGCCTGAAGAGTCTGGACTTCTGATTCTTACCTAGGTGACTCTTGTTTGTATATCTTTTGGTATATTTTGTTACTTTTTCCTTGGGGTACCTTGTCTATAAAGTGCTTATTTGGACTGGAGGTATGGCTCAAATGGTAGAGCACCAGATGTAAGCAAGAAAGCCAAGCAAGGATGCAAGGCTGTGAGGTCAAGCCCTTGTATTGGCATTTAAAAAAAAAAAAAGAAAGGGCTGGGTGCTGGTGGTTTGCACCTCTAATCCTAGCTACTCAGGAAGTTACTCTGAAGACTGTGGTTCAGAGCTAGCCTGGGCAAGAAAGGCTGTGAGACGCTTATCTCCAATTAACCAACAAAAAATTCAGAAGTGGAACTGTGGTACAAAATGGTAGAGTGCTAGTCTTGAGCACTGAAGCTCACGTATAGCACTCAGCCCATGAGTTCAAGCCCCAGGACCAGCAATAAACAAACAACAACAACACCAAACAACAACAACACCATTTCAAGGCTTAGAAACATTGTTCAAGTAGAGAGCATTTGCCTAGTAAGTGCAAGGCCCTGAGTTCAAACCCCAGTACCATCTCCCCCACAAAACAAAAACAAAACAACAACAAAAAACCCTCAAACCCTAAAGTGCTCCTTTTTAGACCTGCGGCTGGGATTAATATGCTGTAGCTATCAAGCTATCTGGCTTGCCGCCCATTTTTGTGAAGTTATATTGAAGCACAGCCACTTCATTTGTTTATGTATTGTTTGTGGCTGCTTTTGTGTGCCACAACAGCAAAGTTGAGTAGTTATGGCAGGAACTATATGAAAATATTGACTGCCTGGCTTTTACCAAAAAAAGCTTTCTGACCCCTGATCTAGTGTGCATTTCTTCATCTTAGTACCTCCTGAGGGGGAAGAGAAAGGAACTCAGATGACATTTTCTAGCCACAAATAGATTATTGATTTTAGGTAATTTTCTTTGGGAGGCTAATGGATACCTTGCATAGGTGAATTAAATGATTCTTCTATACAACTATACATTATTATATGAGAGCTCACCCTTACTGCATTGTAATACATCTATACTTGCATCTTTTTTTTCTTTTTTTTTTTTAACCTCTTCTTAAAAGCAAGGTGTGTGTAGGGGGTGGGTTTATTTCTTCCTTTGCTAGTCTCTTGGTAATCGCTTGGCTTCTATTATAGCAATAACCTTAGGCTTTGCTGCATTTGTGGGAACAGGTTGAAACTCTGAACTTACTCTGGGCTACAGTCAGCCCTGAAATAGCTCTTAATAAATGTATGGATCTAATTTGAGCTTTAAAACTGTTTACTTTCTGTTGATGTATATTATTTGTTACACCCCACCTCTATGCTCTGTTGTAGACACACCCACTTTCTTGAGAGTTACTGGGATCTTCTGTTTTTATCTCAGCCTCTTCTAGAGTTGACTCAGCACTTTTCTCAACTATATCACATCCTTTTTAAGTCATATTTTTAGCTTATCTGTCCTTTTGTTATTCTCACACTTTGACAAAGTCCTTGATTTTTTTTTAGTACGTCTTTCTTTCTTTTTTAAATTTTTATTTGCTTGGTCATTGGGCTTGAACTCAGAGCCTGGGCACTAGTATAGTTAATTGTTGTGCTTATATTTCTGTCCATGTTAATAAATTGCTTATCTGTGAAACTATACTGTGAAAACATTCATTTCTCAATGTTTTTTAAGTACTCCTTAATTCAGTACTAGGGAGTACTTTGTAAGCATCTGTTGGCTAGTTGGTATTTCTTCTTCATCAAAGGTCTCCCAACATTTGATTCGTCCTCTGATGGGCATGAGTCTGGCATTGCAGGGCCACGTGAGGGAGCTAACAGCATTGCTTCGAATGAAAGACTTAGAGATCCAGGAGTACCAGGAGAGTGGGGCTACACTGAGCCGAGGTGAGTGACTATTCTTGGAAGGACTGGATGGGGAATAGTATAGCTATCCAAGGCTCTTAGAAAAGGGAAAGACGTGTTTGTATTAGAAAAGTGTTTCTCAGCCAGGCGCGGGTGGCTCACGCCTGTAATCCTAGCTACTCAGAAGGCTGAGATCTGAGGATCGAGGTTCAAAGCCAGCCCGGGCAGGAAAGTCTGTGAAACTCTTATCTCTAATAAACCACCAGAAAACTGGAAGTGTGGCTGTAGCTCAAGTGGCAGAGCACTAGCCTTGAGCTGAAGCCTGAGGAGCAGTGCTCAGGCCCAGAGTTCAGGCCCCACGACCAACAAAAAAAAAAGAAAGAGTTTCCCTAGGTCTGCACACCTGTAATTCTAGCTGCTTAAGAGGCTGAGATTAGAATCTTGGGCACCTAAGTAGAAAAGTTAAAAGACCTCATTTTTAATTAAGTGGTAGACCACCAGTAGAGCAACTATGCTGAGTAAATGTGAGGACCTGAATTCAAGCTCTGTTACCAGAAAAAGAAAAGAAATGAAATAAAGAATGCTTTCTTTAGGGTAGGTGCTGAGTACTGGACCAGTAACTGGGAATTTGATACTACATGCCACTTAGTACTTCATGTACCTGGCTGGAGCCCATGTGGTCAACAGAAACTATGACTGAGTCAATACATGACAAGCAAAGACTCTGGAAAGGGAAAATAGGTATGCAAGGTAGTACTACAATAGTGTTGAACTGAGAGTTTAGGAAGCTGGATAGCTCCAAATTCAGAATAATTCTTGCCACAAAGACCAGGGTGAAACAGGAAGGTCTCCTAGACCAGGTGATGCCCCTGAATCTGCCTTTGCTGCTGATTGGCCTTTCCTTCTCCAGTTTGCTCACATACCCTCAACCCATTTTTCTTCCATCAGAATAGGGCTTTCTGAATGTCACATCTTTCTCCTCTTTGCTAAGGCCTAGGCTATGTTCTTTTCCATCTCACTGGTAGGAAATTCGACAGACTTATGTTTCTCTTTGTCTCTTAATTATAGGCCGATTGAAGACTGAGCCATTTGAAGAAAATTCTTTCTTGGAACAATTTATGGTAGAGGTAGGGTGTTTGTTATTTCCTTTCTCTTTTTACAAATTTGGGCACTCAAAGGGCTTAGGTGGTAACCTGAATTTTAGGTGTTAAATGGCATAGGTAATTGGAAAGCACTTTGCCTAAAAATTTGTCTGTGGATAGTTAGATACAATTTGAGTTGTATGTGAGGAAGATGGGTAAAGAGCACAAAAGGTGAAAGTACACTAATTAGCATTCATAAAATATCTCTTTTAAAATATGGGGCATGGAGGATGGGAATTGGGGTTCACTTTCTAATCTTGGAAAGCTTGATTGGCTAGTTGTTAAACTTCAGTTTGTTGAGCTCTGGGTTGTGGAGTGGGAGAGTAGTCATTGTTTCTCAACCAGCAGAAGAGGAAGGTAAAAATGCTCAGGGCTACCATTTGGGGACTGTCGTGTGGGCACAGCAGACTGTGGAAAATCACAGTGTTTATACAAGGAGACTGGCAAAGGAATGAATGGGGAGTAGATAATTGTGGCCTGTCAGAAGCTTCTGCCTAGGTTTCCCTTCTAAGGATTAAGCTTGGCCAAAAGAAATATCTCTCGAATGCCAAACAGTGGGAGTATTAATAATAGTGACCTTTGATAATATCAGTCAATATTGGTCTTTTCCTTTTCTAACTCTTCTGGGACTTATTGGTTATATAGTTGGTAGCTTAGTATTATTGTCCCATTTCTTTTTTCTTTTTCTTTCTTTCTTTCTTTCTTTTTTTTGCCAGTTCTGGAGCTTGAACTCAGGATCTGGCCACTGTCCCTGAGCTTCTTTTGCTCAAGGCTAGCACTCTACCACTTAAGTCACAGCACTACTTCTGGCTTTTTCTGTTTATGTGATACTGAGGAATTGAACCCAAGCCTTCATGCATGCTAGGCAAGCACTCTACCACTAAGCCATATTCCCAGCCCCTTATTGTCCCATTTCTAATTATACACATTAACCAAGTTGACACTTTATAAGTAACTAATGCTAGTATAATATGATATATAGATTGTTAATATTTATGTTGCATCCTCCAGGCTAATTGTAAGTTTTCTGTGAACAAAGACTGAGTCTCATACCTTTTTTAAAACCTGAAGTTAGCATTTTTTCCCAGTGCTAGGCATAAAGCAGGTATTCTTGATTTGGAATCTGCCTCTGTATATGGACTAAGGTTAATTCTTGCTGTTTTAACACTAACAGCAAAGTGTGTGAGATGAGTGGCAAGTCCACATATGAAAGCAGTTGCAACTCTAGGGAAGAAGGAAACATGCAGCTGAGCCCTGGAGCAGAGTAGCTCAGGTCTTCGTAGGGTAAGCGCTCATTAAACCTAAACACAGACACTTGCTAGGCCACTTTTTTTTTTTTTTTGTCAGCCTTTCCGATTTTCTAGTGGTTTATTGGAGATGAGTCTCACGGACTTTCCTGCTTGGGCTGGCTTTGGAACGTGATCCTGAGATCTCAGCCTCCTGAGTAGCTAAGATTACAGGCATGAACCACCGGCGCCCCGCTGATATTATTATTATTATTATTTTTTTGGTCTGTCATGGGGCTTGAACTCTGGGCCTAGGTGCTGTCCCTCAGCTCTTGAGCTCAAGGCGAGCGCTCCACCACTTGAGCCACAGCGCCACTGCTAGGCCACTTTTCTTTCAGCCAGCTTCTCCTGTTTATAAGCTTGGGAGGGCTGTTAGTCCTCTCTGTTGATAATTACCTAGCTTGACTTACAGGCATTTTACTCTGTGCTTTATGTTTCAACCATAAGGAATGACTTTTAATTTTTCCAGATGCTATTTTCTCTTGCCTTTATGTCTTTTTATGCATTCTTCCCTTTAACTAGAATGCCTGATGCTCTGTCCTTATCTACCTTGTAAACTGCTATTCACCTTTAGCTTCTTTGGGAGACATTTATTCATGGCTATTATAGAACCTTGCTTTATAGTGCTATTTTATGACTTAAGACACTGTAATATACTGTTTATATATCTGTAAAACTGCAGCTTTTCTGTTTACTTATTTTTTCTGTTTTAGTTGGTGTGAGGTTTGAACTCAGGGCTTCATACTTGTTACCACTGAACCATGCCTCCAGATCTTTTTTTTTTGTCGGTCATGGAGCTTGAACTCTGGGCTTGAGTGCTGTCTCTCAGCTCTTCAGCTCAAGGCTAGTGCTCCATCACTTGAGCTACAGTGACACTTCCAGTTTTCTGGTGGTTTTTTGGAGATAAGAGTTTCACAGACTTTCCTGCCCAGGCTGGCTTTGAACCGCAATCCTCAGATCTCACCCTTCTGAGTAGTTAGGATTACAGGCGTGAGCCACCGGCACCCGGTGCCTCCAGATCTTTTTTATACTGGTTATTTTGAAATAGGGTCTTGCTTTTTGCCTAGGCATGTTCCTGGTTTGCACTATGCCTCTTTTATGCTTTTGATCATAGCTAGGATGATAGGTGTGTGTGCCATTGTGTTCAGCTTTTTCTGTTGAGGTGGAGTCTTCTAGTTTTTGCTGCTCAGGCTGGTCTGGAACTGCATTCCTCCTGATCTTAGCTTCCCACATAACTGGAATGACAGGCACTGCACCCAGCTATTGGTTGAGGAGTCTTGGGTGTATGCCCAGGCTGGCCTTTAACTTCAGTCCTTCTGATTTCAGCTTCCCAAGTAGCTAGGATTATAAGCATGAACCACTAATGCCCAGCTAAGAATATAACTTTCTCCTACACTGATCTATGGACTCTGAAAGCAAGGATACATTTCTGTATACCTAGTATGAATAATTGTACTTAAATGTAGTAGGTTCTCAAATAAGTTTGTGAGTGAATATTTTGATAAATACGAATGTGCCAGGAGATTTTGTGAAAATTGTGGCCATGTGGCCTGTGGGTTCAGTGTTGCTTCTTAGAGCTGTATTTAAGGATCTCAGTTATTTTGTAGCCTTGAACAAATCACTTCTCTAAGACTCACAATTTTCTCATTTGTAAAATTGAAGTATCATCTCTTTCATGCTGTTGGGGAGGGAGAGCCCTGTAGAATGGAATGAGAAAGCATGTAGAATCCAGGTACTTGCCCAGAAAGGTTTTGGTGTTTTGGAACCAGCTACTTCAATAGTTCTCATGTTCTAGGTTCTCAGTGGATCATAGCCAAGCCTTACAGACTTGGAGAATTTTATTATATATGGAAAGGATCAGAGAGATAGGTAGTTGTAACTTCCCATTAATTAATTAGTTTTTGGTGACATGGGTTTTAAACCCAAAGCCTCACACTTGCTAGGCAGTCACTCTACCAGTGCACTCTACCACTCTACCAGTGTACTTCTCCAGCCCTTAAACTTCCATTTTATAGATGTAGAAATGAGCCTCAGAGAGGTTAAATGACTTAAGGTCTGTATGTTTACGACCTTACACATTTCTTGACTCCTAGTCTAGAAATAATTACTGTTTTGTTTTGCTACTTTAACTGGTTGTGCATATCAGTTATGGGAGACATAAGAGCTAGAGTAATGTAAATTCTTGTGACCTCTGGATTTACTGCACTGTCTTCAGAATGTCCTGTATAACTGGTACAACTGAAAGGTTTCCTACTGGACCTGTAGAGCTGTGGCTACTATATCTTTGCAGTTACTGTGCCTGCCTGGGGTCCTAAAAACAGGACACAGGAGGGTCATGAGGTCACCCAAGACTGAGCTGAAAGGATGTGCTATCAAAATAAGCAACACAGAATAGGAAGATAAACAAACCAGAGAGGCAGCTTGGGATAAAGGTGCAGAGAGGCCAGGCCAATGTCAGAGGGCCACGCAATCAGTGACTGGGGTCATTTCTTTCTGTTCTCTTTGGGAATATTGCTGGGCAAGAAGCCATAGAGTTAAGGCACAGGAGCAGTAGGACAAAGGTATTTCTAGGATACTAAAGTTAGGAAAATATTTCAGGATCAAACAGGAGTTACTTTTTCATACTTAGTCCTTATGCCTCCTCTTCTCCTGGGAGCCTTTCATTTTTTACTTCCAAGACACCCAAAGGAGCCAACTGATGGTGGCCTAAGTAAATAGAGAATATTTGCAATGTTGATTCAAGTCAAGGTTGAGTGGGATGATTGTTGATGCGATCCTCATCTAGAGGAAGATCAGTATAGAGCTCGTCCCAGGACTAGAGGTGGAGAGACATTGTTAGGTGTGGAAGAATATTCAAGGAATTGAGGACTGTTGTACATGGCAGTAGGAACTGTGTTTAACCTGAGAGGGCTGGCTTAGTCTCCTCTCAGTCCAGTCCACTGGAGGGAGTGTCTTTCCCTGGTTCTGTCCATGCCTCTCTCTCTCTCTCTCTCTCCATCTGGTTGCTATCAGTTTGTGTGGCTGCTGGTGGGTTCCTTATTTATTTATCCCAGTGTAATGGGGTGAGGAGGGAGCTGGCCTGAGGCTGGCTTTCTGAGGTTATGCCACTGAGCCACAGGCGGTTTGCATGGGTGTGTGAGTCACTGAGGCTGCATGCTGCTCAAACCAGACTCGACCAGGCTCAGGGACAACAGGCAACCTAAAATAGAGCCCCGCCCTCTGCAGCTGGCAACCTCTGGCTAGGAATCAGCCCTTAATACCAAAATCTGGACAGTGGCGTGAAGTTAGCTTCCTCTGGAGGTGTGTGTTGGGGGGGGGGGTCTTTTAGCAGATGTAGGGATTTTGCAATTCTCTTCTCTGTCCTCATACAAGGGTATTCAGCATTGCAACTACTCTGTTCACTATACTCTGAATTCTTAATAAAATTTAAATAATCTGTCCAGCATAAAATGTTCAACTAAGAAATTTTGGGGCTACAGTTAACACTGATTTCACACAGCATCCTAAATGTAGCCACGGTGGTTGTATTCTGTCTAGTTTTAGTTGTTGTCATCATCTATGTCTGTTTGTACTCTGATTCTAGAGCAGATACTTTATGCCCTGAAGAAGGTAGTCATTGCTGCTCTTATGAAGCTAGAGGCTTTTTTTTTAAAAATCAGAGTCACTTTGGGGGAGAGGGAGAGACCTTTAACCTAAAAA